ATTTTCAAGTGATGCTAAGAATAACTTTTTTGAAATTGATTCACTTAATTTATAAGTCCAGACTAATTTGATATTTTGAGATGTTGGGGTTAAAAAAATTTTAATCTTTTTTATTATTTTAGGGGTGTTAGGATTTAACTTATTTAGGAAACTCATGTATCTAATGTATTGTAGCCATCAAGTCAGTCAAGTCAAGGTGAGGGCTGGGGTATCTGAATTACAGATCTCATTGTTCTTTCATATTATTTTAATATATATATATATATATATATATATATATATATATATATATATGAAGTGTGTCTATATTTTTGAGATGAGGTATTATGTACATTATTTGGACTATTGCCCTCATCTTTGTCACCATATTTATCACAATGTTTCGGCCGTTGTACGCTCTGGCCTTCTTCAGGTGGTTGGAATGTCAAACAACCCTTTATTTCGCTCACTGGGGTAGACTGTTCCTTTTTATAAAAATGTTTTTTGGATGTCATTTATCAGAACAAAAACTGTTAATTATCCACTTCTTTAACAGGTATTGAACTCACATCCTTTACGGTCCTGTCACTGGATCTAACCAACGCCTTTATCCACTGTCCATGTGTCCTTCTTTGTGATAAATATGGCGACAAAGATGAAGACAACAGTCCGAATAATGTTCCGTATATATATATATATATAGAGAGAATCCTGAAAGAAGGGGTTGGTTTTCTATGTAAAGGCATGAATAGGAATGCTAATTGGACATTTTGGCGGTAAAAAAAAACATATTTAATTTTAAAATCACAAAAATTTATTATAAACAGAGCATTTTATTTAAATACTTGAATAAGCAATATAAAAAATGACCTCTGTTAAACATAAAAATGTCTTTTTCATAAATATATATATATAAAAATATTATTTTATGAATATATAAATATAATATATATATATATATATATATATCTTTATGAAAAAATGTGTTGTGTGGTATGGGATAAAAATAAGGAGGGCTAAAATCCAGAGAGCTCAATGTAAATCCAGAGCAAATAAATTTAAAAAAAAACAGACCACATAAAAGGTTCCATGTAATAAATTATTTCAATGACAGCCCTTTAAAAAGGACTGTGGATCATCAAGACTTTGGTTCCAAATAAAAAAATAGAAAAGAAAATTAACACTTTTTAAATGTATATATATTAAAAATATTCAGAAATTTTTTATTTTAAAGGTAAAATGCCTTAAAATTTATAGGAGGGGAGAAAAAATAGTATCTATTGTTAACATGAATTTTTTTATATAACGAAACATAGATATGACTTATTTAAAGCCAATAAATAAATGTCTACGGAAGGATATATTGATATCAAAGGGTATATATATATATATATATATATATATATATATATATATATATATATATATATATATATATATATATATATTAATATATATAACCATAAAATATATATATTTATATATATATTCTATTTTATCCTTCATCAATATATATAAAAATATATATATATATTATTTCGCTATAAGGTATATATTGGATATATAAGATTTTTATTTGTATATATATATGGATAAATATCGATTAAATTGTTGTGGATTCCGAGATGAATTCGGTCTCCAAGGAATGACAAACGCAATAATTAAATATAACAAATAAAATGTATTTACACAATCATAGAAAGAGTAATACTGTTAGTAAGTCCAGGAAAGTGGTTAGTAGCAAATAAAGATAGATATATACAGTCTCGAAGTAGGACATCCTTAGTATCTACGTGCTTGTAACTGACTTCTACAAGAGGTTACCTCACACTATCTCCGTTCATATATTCTCTCTCACTCTTCGTATATCCTCTCTCTATCCGACTACCGACTACCCTCACTGACTGTAACTCTGGGTATTTAACGGCAGCAGTCCAGGTACACTTGGTAGACTCCACTTATATGAAAAAGTGGTAGACCCCATAACAGATAGAAAGATTTAGATCCCTTTTTGGAGGGAGTTAATATTTTTTTTTTGTCTCTTGTGGTTGATGATCAGGGGTTCGACGAATTTTCTTTTCCTGTCTGACCTTCTCATTACTGTATTTTCTTGATGATAGATGTATCTCAAACGCTTCAAGATTGTATCCATAGCATCGTCATTTTCTGCGGTTGAAAAGCTTGGCTCCTCAATCCTTCTTTTTATGTAGCTGGTCGATATGTCTTCTGTGTATTAAAACCTTTCACCTTTTATGGTGTACATTAGATTCCCTATTCTATTGATTACTGTGCCAGGCTCCCAATAAGCCATATTGTTTCTAAACATTTGAAATAAACCCGTTCTCCAGGTTTGAATGATCTCTTTGGCACCATCGGTGTATATTGATTTTTGCTCTTGTTTGGCAATAATTTGTCAAACACCGACCTTAGATTTTCCGAAAACATCAATTCTGTTGGAAAAGACCCGATGGCGTGTTTACGTTGAGAATGGGTGTATATCCTGTAGAAATGAAGAGAATGTAGAAATTGCTGTATAGCTTTTAGATCGTCAGTACATCCTCAGCTTTTTTATAGATAGTTCTTTTCAATGTGTAGACGAATCTCTCATTGTCCGATTCGACCTAGATAGATGATACGGAGATATCTTAATATGTTTTACTTGGTACGTCTCGCAAAATTCTTTAAAATCACTGGGATAGATAAACTGTGTGCTGTTATCGAACTTTACCCAATCTTCAGCTTGTAATGCCGAAATTATCGAATCTTCTAACGGTTCGATTTTCGATTAGTATTAATCGCGATAGATCCATCAGATAGTCCTATTTTTCTTTGATGGTAAAATTCCAGTTTAAAATTATAGTTAGATAACACAGTTCCCCATCTTAAAAGATAGTTCGCTGTGTAGACTGGTAGGCCTTTTTTTTTTAACCAAAAATCGTAAGAAGTGGTTTGTGGTCCGTTTGGAGAATGTGAACTCTCTCCCATAAATATATCTGTGAAAACGAGTTACTGCAAAAAGTATGCCCAATGCCCCCTTTTCGATCTGAATGAATAGTTTATATCTCCGCCAGAACGATAATGATCTAGAGGCGTGTGCAACGGGATTGTTTATACCGTTCCGCATCTTGTGTAGAATACACGACCTACCCCAATGTGAGCTTGAGTCACTTGACAATAATGATTTCAGAGTTCGGGATCGAAATGTGTCAGTGTTAACTCTGAAGTTAATTTTGTATTATTTCCTTGAA